AGTTGCTAACACTCTTTTCAAGTTACCTAACAGACGACTGTACACATGGAAATCTCCGAGTGACACCAAAGGTAGAGTAGTCAAAAACCAAATTGACTTTGTCCTTGTTAGTCAAAGCTTCCGCAACTCTATACTCTCAGCTAAAACCTACCCAGGAGCAGATATAGGCTCGGATCACAATCCTGTAGTAGTCACATTAAGAATAAAACTAAAGAGCATTAAAAAACACATACAGAAACAAATTGACGTGAGAAGACTGAATGAACAACATATCAAAGAGAAAACAATAGTGAACATCAAAGAAAATTTAAAAAATATAGAGAAACTGAATAGAAATACTGATAACATAGACCAAAAAAGGGAGAATATTAAACATGCCGTAATGTTGGCAGGGAGAGAAAATTTAACACCGAAAGAAAGGAAACATAAAGAATGGATGAATGAGGAAATACTACAGTTGATGCGTGAAAGAAGGGTACACAAAACAAATAATCCGATAAGATACAAAGAAACAGATAAACTGGTAAGAAAGAAAATAAGAGAAGCTAGAGAAAAATGGCTAAGTGAGCAATGCCAGGAGTTGGAACAATTGGAGCGAAAATATGACTTTTTTAATGTACACAAAAAGATTAAAGAAATGACACGAAGGAGAAGAACAACACAGACAGGACAGATCAAAGATACAGATGGTATAATTATAACAGATTTACAACAAAAAATGAACCGATGGACAGAATACATATCACAACTGTTTGATGACAAAGATAGACAAGAAATCTCAAACGAATATACAGATGATACAGGGCCTGATATAATCAGAGAAGAAATAGAATATGCAATCAAATAAGCAAAAAGTGGTAAGGCCCCCGGTCCTGATGAAATTCTCGCAGAACTCCTCAAACTTATGGACGATGAATCTATTAAAATACTCCTAGATCTATTTAACACAATATATAGAACTGGAATAATACCTAGGGAATGGCTCCGTTCGACCTTTATACTACTGCCAAAAAAGGCAAATACAAAGGAATGCAACGAATATCGTACGATAGCTTTGATGAGTCATGCTCTAAAGCTGTTCTTAAAAATAAGAAATTCATAATAGGATCTATAGGAAATTAGACGTAGACATCAGTAACACTCAGATGGGATTCAGAAAAGGGCTGGGTACAAGGGAGGCTCTGTTTGCAATGAACGTTCTCTCACAGAGATGCTTAGACATGAACCAAGAAATTTACGCCTGCTTTATTGATTTCGAAAATACCTTTGACAAAGTACAACATGAACCACTAAGACAAGTTCTAATAAAGAAAAATATAGACAGCCGAGATATTCGAGTTATATGCAATCTATATTGGAATCAAACAGCAAATGTCAAGGTTGAGGGCAGACTAACAGAAGAAATTCAAATCCGTCGAAGAGTCCGGCAGGGATGTATCTTATCGCCACTTTTATTTAATCTGTATAGTGAAGCTATCTGTGAACAAGCACTCGAGAAGAAGATCTTGGTCTGATAATAAATGGTGAGACGATCAACAATATAAGGTATGCTGACGATACAGTTCTCCTAACGGGAACGCTAGTAGAACTACAACATCTCGTTCAAAGTCTCAATATATACTGTAACAGTTACGGCTTGAAAATTAATTTGAAAAAAACTAAATTTATGGTAATCACGAAATCAAAGAACATCAGAGCTAATCTTGTAATAGATTGAAATCAGTTGAAATCCACTAGGCTCGCAAAGTCGCATTTCGACGTCGCCATATTAATTTCGACATGTTTTGAGTCGAAATCTCAATTAGAATCAGGGCCCAGGGTTGTCATCCGACAATAAATTAGATAAATAAAAACAGTTTAATTGAAAGAGTTATTTTATTACTATAATATTATATATAAGTCTAAAAGTTATTATTATATTATATATTAGTCTATAGTCTAAAATATTAAAGTTAACTATTCCATGGTGATCTTCTATTTCAACGTCTTAGTTTACCTATTCAGCCTACAAAAAAAAAATTAACCCAATTTAAATTGTAGATCATATAAATACAAATCGAGATCATATAAATACAAATTGAGTGACAGTGGTTCCAAAAAATCATACAATACTGCAACTTTCCACCTGGATGTCACATGTACATGAGCTGACGGTTTAAGGCGAAGTCCCATGCATCCGATTTCCGAGATCCGACATACGAAAATCGTATGGTTTCGTAGTTGCTATTTGGAAGCTAGTCACATGGATGCGATTGTCGGATACGAAAATCCGTATAAACTGTTGTTAACTGTCAATTTTTTGTTTATTGTTTGGATGTTTGGTGGTTTGGCTGGTAATTGCTGTTTTACCACTTTTGCGTAGTAAAACAGCAGAAGGGATTATTTCCGCATGGTATATAATCCCTTCTCCTGCTTTCAATTACTCAGTTTATTATGGATAACGTAGAAGAAATTACTCTGTTTGCAATGAACGTTCTCTCACAGAGATGCTTAGACATGAACCAAGAAATTTACGCCTGCTTTATTGATTTCGAAAAGGCCTTTGACAAAGTACAACATGAACCACTAAGACAAGTTCTAATAAAGAAAAATATAGACAGCCGAGATATTCGAATTATATGCAATCTATATTGGAATCAAACAGCAAATGTCAAGTTGAGGGCAGACTAACAGAAGAAATTCAAATCCGTCGAGGAGTCCGGCAGGGATGTATCTTATCGCCACTTTTATTTAATCTGTATAGTGAAGCTATCTGTGAACAAGCACTAGAGGAAGAAGATCTTGGTCTGATAATAAATGGTGAGACGATCAACATTATAAGGTATGCTGACGATACAGTTCTCCTAACGGGAACGCTAGGAGAACTACAATATCTCGTTCAAAGTCTCAATATATACTGTAACAGTTACGGCTTGAAAATTAATTTGAAAAAAACTAAATTTATGGTAATCACGAAATCAAAGAACATCAGAGCTAATCTTGTAATAGACAATACAACGATTGAGCGTGTGCCCTGTTATAAATATCTAGGTGCTTGGATCACAGACGATACTGATCAAACAAAAGAGATTAGATGTAGAATAGAAATCGCTAGATCAGTCTTTAATAGAATGCGCAAACTCTTTTGCAATCGTGATATCAATATAAAGTTACGAATACGAATGCTGCGGTGTTATGTCTTTTCTACCCTGTTATATGGAGTTGAGGCTTGGACACTAAAACAGTTGACCATAAAAAACATCGAAGCTTTCGAGATGTGGTGCTATAGGCGCATTCTCAGAATATCATGGATGGACCGCGTCACTAACACGCAAGTACTCCAAACTTTAGACAAAAGATGCGAAATTCTAAATGAGATAAAAACTAGAAAGATGGAATACTTGGGGCACATTGTGAGAGGTGAAAAGTACGAACTTTTAAGAAACATCATGCAGGGCAAAAGAAGTGTGGGAAGAAGAAAAATATCGTAGCTTCGTAATCTACGTGAATGGTTCGGGTGTAGTTCGATTCAACTTTTTAGGCTCGCTGCTAACAAAGTCGCAGTGGCCATGATGATTTCCAATCTCCGCTAGGAGTGGCACGAGAAGAAGAAGAAGATGGGTATTATATTTTTTTCGGCACACCAGGGCTTATAATAGTCGTAATATAAAGAGGATATATTGAGAGCATGATCAATGTATACTGTGTTCGGATTTTTATTTCTGCTATAGTGGCTTTTGTAATTAGGTATGCTATTAATGTGGTCCAGAGCTGACTGGCAAGCTTCCTCAGATATTTTATTATGACGGTTCAATTTACAGTTCGCTTTTGAGAAGTAAGGCTATGGATGGAAATAAATTCTTTTTTGCATATTTTCACATAGAATCCATTTACCTTTACAAAATAGTTGAAAGTGGAACTCCGAGAAGAAATATTTTTCTTGTTTTTTTTTTGATATGACGTTTTTTTGGAGCTGCTTAATGTTGTGGTATAACATTTATGGTTTGTCGTAGTCCCCAATATTCCAAAATTCATCAAAAATTTTGTTTTCCGTGCCTTGCAGCAATATCCTAGTTTTTCTTGCATCCGCAAGGTGGGTCCAAAACTCTAGCTGCAACATCTTTTCCCGTTTTACTTGTATATGGTGAACCAAGATTTCGACCTGCTTTTCTTAATGCATATGTATCCATATTTTGCTGTCGCCACCTATTCCTGACTTTTTTCTCAGGGTTTGGAAAATCAGCGCGCCAAGTTTTATTGGGTTCCTGTAAATAATAACAAACGGTTAAGACGATCTTTAAAAATTTCACATGTCAGAAATGAAAATTTTTATTTATCAACCAAATTTAATTTTTTAACAGACCGCAATTAATTCGTCGGAAAATGCGGTTCCGGCATTGTAAAAATAACCGCAGCATATCCCAAAAGACAATAACCGATTTAATAAAATTTCGGGAAAATGGTACATACCACAAAATAAGCCACATGACTTGCAAAATTTTATCGCCTAAATTTTTAGAAAAGGGGGCATGCCACATAACTTAACAAACTTACCTGTTGTTCCTCATAATGATGAACTGTTTCCAATATCACTCTCTGTATAGTCCTTGTCCTTTACACTATCATCTGAGTTAAACTAACACTGAGTTTTGCCGCTTAAATCAGTAGAAAACTCATAAAAATCGCGAGAACAGCCAGCACGTGTTTCTCTCATGATGGTAGCTTGTACCTTTGTTATGAAAGTATTCCCCGTCTAGCGATATTGTGAAAAGGTTATTTTGCCACACCATTGTCATCTATTGGAAAATAGTGAAACTAGGTTGTATGTAGCTTGTACCGGTTATTTTGAACTATTTGCACTGAAAATACAAATTTTTTAGATTTTTTGGCTTGCATCCTTTTCACGCCAAGGTCTTCATATCTACTTTTATGTAACGACTTTCCTAAATTTAATTTATTGTAACATCAATAAATTAATTACTTCTGTCTTCATTCGAATTTTATTAATAGCTATGTTATAGTATCCAGATAATTATTCTGAAAAACAATCAGAAAAAGAAAAGAAGGGAAAGCCTTCTAAAGGACGAAAACGTAAAGCAAGTGAAGATGAAATGGAAGAACTAGAAGAAAAAGAAAATAAATCAAAGCCTACCAAGAGAGAAATACCATAACAAGTTTTTTCAATGGAATGAGCAATGGAAACAGCAGTAAAAAAATTAAGATAGAATATGAAGTACCTGAAGAAATAAGTAAGTTAATAAAAGAAGATGTGGACAATGCTGCCTTATGGGATGACTGCAATGAAACTATTAAGTTAGGAAAGCAGAAATATTTGGCAAAAATTCAAGAAAATTTCAAATGTGCTTGCTGTCAGGATATGGTATACAATCCAATTACTACTGAATGCAAACACAATATGTGTGAGGTAAGTTGTTTCTTTTTAAGATGTTTTTATTATTATACAAAGGGGCAAAAATAAAATGCGAGATTACAGAAAATTATTTCAAATATTTTTAATAAAAAGCTATAAGCTTTAGAAAGTGTCTCGAACATAAAATAAACATTTTTTATCCACACACTTATTATGTTTTACTCCATTGAAAGACCCTTAAACAGTTGCTGTATTGTATTGAACACAATATTTTGTTGTAAACTGCGTCTGTCCAATATGTCCCATACATGCTCAATTGGGTTTAAATCTGGCGATTGTGCCAAAACCTCAATTTCATGATCTTCTAGTAATGTTCGGGCGACCCTGACAGTATGTAGACTCGCGTTGTCGTGCATTAATTGAAATTGGGGACCAGCTTGTTGTGCAAATGGTACAATAGTTAAGAGAATAATATCGCGGCATACTAAAACAATTTTTAATTGAAGGTGATTACTTGGCGACATCGCACTTAACGATAACTTTTCAACGAAATCATATTCCACTTATCAATTTTGCAGAGGCGTACCAAAAAAAAATAATTATTTATTTAAACACATAAGTAGGTAAAAATTAAATCTAAGACCGATATAATTATTCAATTATCATGTGTCTTTTAAATATCTATAAGGTATTTTATAGTTGTCTAACAAAATAAAGTAAAATTTTATTCTTATTAGAGACTATCTAATACAGAACTTCAAAAAACAGAAAACTTTGGAAAATACTTATTATTTTCATTAGACTAGTGATTAGGAATTCTGACGATTCTGATTATGATATTCTTCTGAACCATAGATAAAACGTCCAAAGAAAAAACCAGGCAAAAATAGTAAATTCAAATTTGTCTTAAGTTCTAATAACAGATACTCATTCGTACTCAGTAGTAATTCAACATCAGTCTGATTGATATTTAGACAATATAAAAGCCAACCATGGAGGCAAGTCATATATTGAAGTTTTTTCACTCTTTTTTTTGGATAAAAAAGTAATTGAGAGCATTCTATATTTTACAAATGTTTATGCATTCCAAAATAACCGTCACGATTTTGAAATGAATAACAGATTAAAAAAAAATATTAGCATATATATATATATATATATATATATATATATATATATATATATAATATATATATATATATATATACAGATTGAACCAAATTAAAAAGGAACATAAAATTTAATACATGTCTGTTTGAACTGCATTTGAAATAGTGGACCAATATAAAAGTTGGACAAAAATAAATCCATACCTGGGTATAGACATTGTATAAAATATCGTTCAACTATCTGTCTCGCAACAATGTTGTTTGCGTAAGACGGGTTTGTCTAAGGAAACGATAATAGTTCAGGAAATGAAACTCGAAAAAAGTTAAAACTTCGCAATTTTTTCGTTCTGCATTTATCCAGTTGAAATTTTAACAGAAGGTAGGTGATAGCCCAAGGATCAAAATCTATATCGAACCGAAGTGCGCTGAAGGGTTTTAGGGGTGAAAACTACCCCTAATTTTCAAAAATTAAAAAATAACATATTAAACCGGAATATTGGTAAGATTTGGTTTGAATTAGTTAAATAATGATTATTTTATACTTTTGAATAAAGTTCCATCATATTTCAACCCTTAAAAAGCAACCTTTGTTAGAGATTAATATAAAAAAATTACTAATTCTAAAAAAATGATTTCACCTTGGATCGATTTGTATAAAAATTTGGATTTAAGCTCAATTCACCCGCTGCTTTATAGTTTATGTCATGTCGACGAACCCTGATTGTTATTAGGGGTGAAAACTGCCCCTAATTGTCAAAAATTATAAAATAACATATTAAACCTGAATATGGGTAAAATTTGGTTTGAATTAATTAAATAATGATAGTTTTGTGCTTTTGAATAAAGTTCCATCATATTTCAACCCTTAAAAAGCGACCCTTATTAGAGATTAATATAGAAAAATTAGTAATGCGAAGAAAATGATTTCACCTTGGAACGATTTGCATAAAAATTTGGAATTAAGCTCAACTCACCCTCTGCTTTATAGTTTATGTCATGCCGATGAACCCTGATTGTTCTTAGGGCTGAAAACTACCCCTAATTTTCAAAAATTGTAAAATAATATTACAAATTTTAAGATGAGTAAAATTTGGTTTGGATTAGTTAAATAGTGATTTTTTTATACTTTAATATACAAATTCATAAATTTTGCCAAAATTTTGCCACTTTTCAACTTTTGAAAATCACCCTTTACAACATTGCAGTTTTTATAAACTAATTTATAAGATATAAATTGAAAAAAGTAGAAATAAATACAAAAAAATTTATCAACATAAAAAGGCACCATAATTATATTCTTATACATTTACATAAATAGTTGGAAATATTTACATTTATAGGTAAAACAATTATAATATTAATTTTATTCGTCATCAATTACATCTTCATCGTGATCTATGTCATCCTCATCTTCTTCAATTATTGGTGGACTGTTATTGCACCCTTCGCCTGAGCACCCAGAACAAGTAGAGTTACAGTATAAACCAACTTTTCTGCACCCACATGAAACGCCGCATCCTTTTTTGCATTGGCAAAAAGTAATTTTTAAAAGTTCATCGTGTGCAGGTTGTTTGTTCATGCGTACGGGTAATAACAAACCATCTTTGGAATACCATCCCCAATCTGTTGCTCTGATATTTTTATTGCCAAGCCATAGACACATGAGCAGATGTTTTATTCTGTTGTATAGGATTTCAAAATAAGAACGCTTACAATTTCGAATGTATAACGCCCCACTAGCTAATATACCGGTTTTGTAGATTATTATGCTCCGAAATGTACTGTACTATACTAATGGAATTTTCCGGAAAAAAATTAACTGGTTTTTTTTAACGTATTTCCTTTAATTTTTAACGATAGAGTGTTTTTTCAAAAACGATTTGTAGAGGTTTTTAAGAGCTACAAGGATTTGTGAATTAAATCTTTTTGGAACCCTTGGTTTTTAAATGGGGTGAGTTTAAAGGGCCCGAAAAAGATGGTGCTTGATCGTAAATCGAGGCGTTAATCGGCTATATCTCGCCAAATATTTATTGTACAACAAATCTAAATAAAGGATAATTTTAGTCATTAAAAAAGCTACAATTTGGTAATTTTTATTTTTTTCATATATTTAGTATTTTCGGGCATATTTAAAAAAAGAAGGGTAAAAAATATGAAATTGTAAATCATTTCTCGCTTTAAGCTGTACTTTTTCTAAAACTAAGCATTTTAAATGGGTCAAACTTCTTGGACGTATTAACAATACATGTACAAAGGGAATTGCAGAAGGGTGAAGATCGATTTTAATTATGGGGGTGGTTAGGGGGTTGTTTTCATCGATTTTTTCGTAAAAAATGAGGTATTGTCCTTATTTTCATCATAACTCACTCAATTTTTGAGCTAGAGTCTTTTTTTATGATAGGTCTGTTTATGCTCTTTAAAAAAGGTTTTGTGTGTTTTTTTTTCCAAAAATGCATCATTTTTCCGATATCTGACTTTGAATCTTTCAAATTTGGCATTTGAAGAAAACCGCTAAACATTGATAGGCCGTATTTCGGTTCCTATTATATCGCAAAAACATTTTAAAAAATGAATTGTATTTGTCTTTTTAAAAGCTACAAATTTGTTCTCTACAACTTTTTTGATAAAATGCACCATTTTCGAGTTATTCGAGAAAAATCGATTAAAAACGTGGATTTTTTTCGTCTAAAAGTTGTTACTTTCAATCGCGAATAACTTGAAAAATATCATTTTATAAAAAAAATGTATAGCACATTTTTTGTCTAGAATCACTTTTTTAATCGAAACCTGTAGTTAAAACGTAAAAAAAAATTTCACCCCGGAGATGGGGTGGCAACCACCCCCTAGGCTTTGGCGCACTTTGGTTCGATATAGATTTTGATCCTTAGGCTATTACCTATCTTCTGTTAAATTTCAAGTCAACCCACGCAGCACGAAAAAATTGCGAGGTGAAATGCTTCATTTCCTGGACTATAACTGGTTTGACAGCATATTAAAATCGTAGATTTATGTGTAGCTTTCAATTTCAGTTCAGAATCCAGCAGCGCGCTGAAGTATTGGATTTTTATAATATAATTATTTGACAATCTTTTGTTGGCCAACCACCTACAGCAGAATTGAGCCGAAATACATTATATTCCTATGTTCCGAATTTATTTCGTTCAATCTGTATATATATATATATATATATATATATATATATATATATATATATATATATATATATATATATATATATTATCTGGTTTACACTCTGCTTCAAGTTGATCTTCATTGGTCAAAGGATGAGGATAAAGAAGTGCACATTATAAGAGAAAGCATGAGCCGACATAGATTTATATTTTTAATTTATAATAGTGAAGAAACTGCTACATCAGTGTCCAAACTTAGTACATGGAGGTCAATCTAAATTTGCTTTATCAGATTTGACAATATTGGCCACATTACAAAAAGAGACAAGAGATAGTGCAAAAATGTAGGATGTGCAAATAAAATTTTCACCTGAAAATTTTATTTACATTTAAGATACAATATGTTCCTTTATTAAAAATTGTACTGTTTTCTTTGAAAATGAGAAAAAAAAACTTTTTGAGCGGCCGTTAATAGATTAATACTATATAAAGAATAAACTTGTCTAAATTTACTTTACTTGCCTCAAAACTATTTTAAAGTTAATAATAAAGTCTATTTAATAAGTATATTATTCCCAAGAAATAGAAAATACACTACGCCTATGCACATTGTGAGAGGAATAAACTAAAATATCATATTTCTCTCATTACCATTCTTTCTAATAACATAAATATATACAGACCAGCAAAATATTGATAAGTTTACCGATGTTTCAAACTATTAAATGAACTTGTCCCAGTATACACTCGTGAATCGCACCAATTTATATTGTTACTGGGGCAAATTTATCTTACTTTTTCACTTATTTACATGGGCGAAGCATACACAATAAAAATGACCCCGGTAAGAATTTACTGCTGAAATTATTAATGGTTTGCCGCTATCGTTTAGTTCAATTTGTAGATTAATCACCTTTAATTAAAAATTGTCCGACTATAGTCCACCTCATTTCCTTTAAAGCAATGATATCTGCTTTAGTTTTATTCATTTTTTGTATGAGATATTTAGGTTTAGTTTAGATTTTAATAAGGATAATGATTTTTAAATCGGACGGGAATTCGGAAATTCGGAGGGTCATTTCACCCGCTCTCATCAGTCCGACCCAACTTTCCACCCGAGTTGGATACCGGATCTCCAATTGGGTTGCTCGATTTACAGGGGACACCAGCGTGAAGGTGAGAGTTGGATTTGAGTAGAAAAGGCTAATTGGAGTAAACTGGAATCAACTCCATGTTTTCGCATTCTACCCCTTTATCCCAAATCATTTCCTCAGTTCAAATTATATTTGCCAGCTTTTAAAAGTCTTTGTTAAAAGTTTAAAAGTTTTTGGTCTATGCATAGGGCAATACGGTTATTTGATGAATCGTAGCATTTTAGTGACATAAATTTAACTTCTGGACTATACTAAAACAATTTTTAATTGAAGGTGATTACTTGGCAACATCGTACTTAACGAAGCCCTTAACGATAACTTTTCAACGAAATCGTATTGAAATTATCAATTTTACAAAGGCGTACCAAAAAAATTTTTAATTATTTATTTAAACACATAAGTAATTACGTAAAAATTAAATCTAACACCGATTTAATTATTAAATTATCATGTCTCTTTTAACAGGTATCTTCTAGTTGTCTAACAAAATAAAATAAAATTTTATTCTTATTAGAGAGTATCTAATACAGAACTTCAAAAAACAGAAAACTTTGGAAAATATTTTTTTTTCATTAGACTAAAAACAATCTGCAATTTTAATTACACATCATTCTCTATTTATAGAATTGCTGTGTGCTGTAAACGTTATATTTGTTTTTTTTTTTTAAACTTAATTTGAAAGTTTGTTGTGTTTATTCGTTTACATAAATATGAAAATATATTATGAAGTTCATATAAATTAAATGAAGTACGCTAAACTATTATCATATGAATGCGTTTATATAGCAGTGCATTTGTTTATTTCAGTAAATTCTCGAAATATGAAATGAAGATGGCACTAACTACTAAAGAGTTAATAGCTTTGTTAGAAGAAGACTCAGATTGTGAAAATGCCACTTAATGTGGTTTATTTGCCGCCGAGATTAGATTAGAAAGTTTCTGATGTAGAAGACATTGATCTTCTTCTTCTTCCTTCTAGTTTGTAGGCTTTAAAGCCTGTTTCTTCTTCAATATTAGCTTCCTAAATTGTTTAAATTGTCGCACCATCTTTTTCTTGGTCTGCCAATACTTCTTCGTCCATTTGGTGACTTATCTCGTGCTATTCTCGTGTTTGTTCCACTTTTGTTTTCGTTTTGTCACCCATCCATTTATGTCTTCTATGTCTTCTTATGTTTTTGCTTCTCTCTCTATCTAACAGACTTCTCCTTGATATTCGTCGGAGTATTTTCATCTCTGTTGTTTCTAGCAGTCGTCTCGTTTTAGATGTGTAAGGTCTTGTCTCAGCCGTATATGTTAATATAGGTCTAATTCCTGCTTTATAGACTCTTGTTTTTGTGTCTTGTCTTAGGTGTTTGTTCTTTCAGATTGTGTCATTAAGAGAACCCGTCGCTTTACTTGCTTTTAAGCTTTGCTGTCGTACTTCTTCAACATCTCTGTAACTAGCTATATCTATTCCCAGATATCTAACCCTTGCTTCCGGCTTTATTATTTTCCCATCAATTTCGATTTTACACCGTAGTGGGTATTTAAATGTCATACATTTGTATTTTTCCGCTTATATTATCTTATTGTATTTCTTAGCTGTTGTATTGAAGATATGTGTTAATCTTTAGAGCTCATCTTCTGTCTCGGCGATTAATGCGGCGCCGTCTGCATAACATAATATTTGGATTTCTTTGTTCCCAATTCTGTAGCCATGACTTTTACGTACTGCTTGTATTATTTCGTCCATTAATATATTAAAGAGAAGTGGGCTTAACGAGTCACCCTGTCTGACTCCGCTTTGTACTGGTATACACTGTGTTAGTTTTCCATTTATCTTTGCTTGTATTCGATTATGGAGGTAGATGCTTTCGATGGTTTGTATAATATTGATTGGTATGTTCCTTTTATACAGTAGGTGTAAGACGTCTTCGACTTGGATCCGATCGAAAGCCTTTGTCAGGTCTATAAAACATAGATATGATGGCCTTTTATGTGATTTGTCTTAGTATAAATACGGCGTCTACGCAGGATCATCCGGATCTGAATCCTTGTTGTTCATCTGATAAAGTTGGTAGTTTATTGATTTTGTTGGTTAGGACTTTTGTGGTAAGCTTAAGTGCGGTGTTCAGTAGATTTATACCTCTATAATTGTTGGGGTCTTCTTTATCTCCTTTCTTGACCATTGGTATCATTATGCTATTTCTCCATGCGGCTTGTATCTTGCAGTGCAATATTAGTTTTTGTATAAGTTTTGTCATCTCTAGGGTTAAACTTTCCCATCCGTATTTTAGAAGCTCGTTGGTTATTCCGTCTGGTCCTGGTGACTTTCTATTTTTGAATGAATTATGACTATTTCTACTTCGTGAAAACTGATTTCTATTTCGTCTCTTAGTTAAGGTACGTTATTGTGTTGATTATTATTTTCCTTTGCTTTAAAAAGTTCCGTCAGGTATCTTTCCCATTCGTTTGCTGGTATATTATTGTATTCCTTGAAGAGATTGATGATAATATTATTTGTGAAGAATCAATAAAATCGGATATTGCAGGTACATATGAAATACAAGTGATTGGGAATTCTAACGATTCTGATTATGATATTCCTCTCAACCACAGATAAAACGTCCAAAGCAAAAACCAATAAGTAAAAATAAGGCAAAAATAGAAAATCCAAATTTATCTCAAGTTATAATAACGGATATTCTTTCGTGCTCAGTAGTAATTCAACATCAGTCTGATTGATATTTAGACAATATAAAAGCCAACCATGTAGGCAAGTCATATATTGAAGTTTTTTCACTCTTTCTGATAAAAAAGTAATTGAGAATAACCGTCACAATTTTGAAATGAATAACATAGATTTAAAAAAATTATTAACATATGTATATTATCTGGTTTACACTCTGCTTCAAGTTGATATGCATTGGTCAAAGGATGAGGATAAAGAAGTGCACATTATAAGAGAAAACATGAGCCGACATAGATTTATAATTTTAATTTATAATAGTGAAGAAACTGCTACATCAGTGTCCAAACTTAGTACATGGAGGTCAATCTAAATTTGCTTTATCAGATTTGACAATATTGGCCACATTACAAAAAGAGACAAGAGATAGTGCAAAAATGTAGGATGTGCAAATAAAATTTTCACCTGAAAATTTTATTTCTATTTTATCAATCTAAATTTGCTTTACCAGATGAAACCAAATTCGACAATATTGGCCACATTATAAAAAGAGACGATAGTGCAAAAATGTAGGATGTACAAAAGTAATACTATTTATTTATGTAAAAAGTGTAGAATGCATCTACACCCCGAATATTTCGAAAATGTTTACCTTAAAATTTAATTTACGTTTAAGATACAATATGTTCCTTTACTAAAAATTGTACTGTTTTCCTTAAAAATGAGAAAAAAAATCTTTTTGGTTGTAATTTATTCCTAATTTGTGTTTTTAATCCAATCTAATAAATTAATTGTCAAATTTCTCTTTGTATATTGAGCGGCCGTTAAGGGTTTAATACTATATAAAGAATAAACTGGCCTCAAATTTACTTTACTTACCTCAAAACTATTTTAAAGTTAATAATAAAGTATATTTAATAAATATATTCCCAATAATACACTACGCCTATGTACATATGTATAAAATCTGGAAGATATCATATTTCATAAACTTTAATAAACTAAGATATCATATTTCTCTAATTAACATTCTTTCTAAAAACGTAAATATATATAGACCAGCAAAATATTGATAATTTTACCGATGTTCCAAACTATTCTATGAACTTGTCTCACTATACACGTGTGAATCGCACCAAGTTATACTGTTACGGGGGCAAATTTATCTTAGATGGGTTACAAATTTACATATTTACATGGGCGAAGCATACACAATAAAAATGACCCCGGTAAGAATTTACTAATGAAATTTTTCATGGTTGCCGCTACCGTTTAGTTCAATTTGTAGATTAGTCACCTTTAATTGAAAATTGTCCGACTATAGTTTGGGACGCAGTCTATGATAAATTTTTACCTCAACAACAACTGCTGTGTAATAATTCAGTAGCTGTCAATAAAACTATATTTTACCCAATGACTTCAACATTTTATTTTATCATGGTCGATAGAGGAGAATCCGACACAGAGCATTACTAACAATACGAAATTATAATTACACTGAATTGTCCAATAACTAAATTAAAATAGAAAAGAAACATTGTGCTTGTATTAATTAGTATAGAAACCAATATATTTATTTATTTTTCTCATAGTTCATAAAGTAAACTATATATATTTTTTTTATTTTTTAGGCGTGCATGCGGCGAGCATTCAAATCGAACTATTACAATTGTCCTTATTGTCGATTTGAACTAGGAGGATGTTACGATTTAACAGTTAACGAAACGCTTAGTAAAATTTTAAACATGTTTTTCCCAGGATATGGAAAATAAATTACATGAAATGTTTTTATTATTAATTTGATGTACCTATATTTTATTTTTGTATCAAAAATCTAATCTTTGTAAGGATATTTTTTACGTGTTTGATGTAAATGTTTATGTTTTTGGACCTTGTACTATCTGTTTAGTATGTAGCAGTATTTTTTGTAATAACATTTTAATTTAAAAATTTATTGTTTGATTGTTACCACATTTTCCCATTTTAATATTAACAAGGATTGCAAGAAAATTGTAATTAAGAATAACATCAGTTACTTGTACCAGGACAAGCTGAAGTAGATACTATAGTACATTTGAAAATGATTGATAGCGTAAATTTCGCTAAATACAGTGTTGCTCAATGTAGAAAAAACGTAATATCTGAATTCTTATCTGAATTTTAACTCCACATTAATATGACCACCCCGACAAATCTTAAATAGAATAAATACATCATAAAATGCAAATGAAAAACACTAAGGGATTAATTTTAATTTTTATAAATATACTAAATATTGGTTTAGGACATTTCCTTACAATTTAATCATAAATATATTTCGGGTACTAGCGTCATATAAACTTATGTTTAGTAATATACCGTGTAGGTAAAAGTTTATGGTCGGTATTGTAGAATTTAACAGGATATCTAACACAGGTATAAAATCATGTTTTCAGTGAATAGACAAAGACAACAATCATATTTCCCCTTGGTCTTCCTTCCACATTTCTAATAGACGCCATTAGTGAGACGTTATTTCCAATCCAGTTTATACCTAAGAAACAGCGGCAGGGTTGCCTTATTACATATTTCAATTGATTTAAAAAATTGGCGATCAGTGGCGCGGTTATCTTGCCATTCAAAACTGGATGATGATATTAAAAACAAAATGACACAATACTGGTACAAAATTTCCAATAAAACCTAAATTCCAATAAAACAAGATAATTGTGGCAACATCGTTATTCATCCATCCTGTTTAATAGGATGGATGGATAGCAGACAGGTTAGAAGGCTATGCTATGTATTTTAGGGGTGGGTCATGTATGTTTTTATCGTTAACGAAACTGAACCGTTTTTGAACTGAACAAGTAAATAGTTAATTGTTTAACAGTAGTTTCAAATAAGCGTGTACATAAACAAACATATTGGCTATTATCGTTTATGTGTATATGTATTGAAGTGAAAGCAACTAATGAAGGATATATTTAGTATAACTTGAAAAATAAATTAAACAATACAAATAGTAAAGAGTACTTACATTTACATTACACATTATTATTAAATCGCAAATCGTCTCAATTGACATTTACAAACATAAGTTTTTCCACTTTACTTGTTAACTGTGTTCTTCTTTTATTTAAAATTAAACCAGACATGAATATAAACAACTACGTAAAGAAGAAAAGAAAATTCACCGAAGAAAGAAGAGAGAATATATCAACAAAGAACTTCAAGAACTACAAGAATTAAGTAAACCAACAGAGACAAGAAAATTTTACCAGAAACTCAACAAAAGCAGAAAAGAGTTCAAACCGAGAACAACGATGTGTAAAGATAAGGAGGGTAATATATTGACAGAACAGCAAGAGATACTTAGAAGATGGACAGAACATTTTAAGGAAAAGCTTGGGGTGAATAGGACGGAGATGAACCCTGATATACCATTAGACCAAGCAGACAACAGAGAAAAGAGTCCACCAACAATAGCAGAGATTAGAACAGCAGTGGACAAATTAAAGAACAATAAATCACCGGGATCGGATCAAATATCATCGGAGCTACTGAAAGAAGGAGGAGACGCATTACTTAAAGCCACACATGAGCTGATAAGAAAGATATGGTTGAATAAACAGCTACCAAAGGAGTGGAATAGCGGCATTATTGTACCACTACATAAAAAAGGAAACCAGTTAGAATGTGAAAACTACTGTGGAATCACGCTGTTGAATGCGGCATACAAAATAATGTCCAATGTAATGTATGAAAGACTTAGACCATATGCTGAAAAAATAGTTGGCAAATACCAATGTGGCTTCTGTAGACAGAAGTCAACAATAGACCAGATATTTGTTCTGCGACAGATCCTTGAAAAAACAAGTGAATATAACATCGACACACATCATCTCTTCATAGACTTCGAAAGCGCATATGACAATATAAACCGAGAATTCCTAACAAAAGCAATGAAAGAATTTAATATACCAACACAGCTAATAGAATTGATAAAAGGAACTAAAAGTAGAAAGTAAAATCCGGATACAAAACGAATTAACGGAAACAATAGATGTGAAGAAGGGACTACGCCAGGGAGACGCTCTATCATGCAAATTATTCAACATCATACTTGAAAAAATAATAAGAGACACAACAGTTAATACCCGAGGAACAATAATTAATAAAAGCGTGCAAGTACTAGCATTTGCAGATGATGTTGACATAATCGCAAGATCAAGAAGAGAAATGATAGAGGCATTCACTCAAATAGAACGAGCTGCAAAAAATAGTGGTCTTAAAATCAATCAGACAAAAACAAAATATATGCCTGCAAATAAAAACGCACAAATAAAGCAGCTGCCAAATTTAACAATAGGAGAATACAACATTGAGGCGGTAAAAAACTTTACATACTTAGGATCCCTAGTTACGTCTGATAACAATGTTGCAGAGGAAGTGAAGAGGAGAATATTTATTGCCAATAAATGTTACCATGGCTTAATTAGGCAACTAAGATCAGATAACGTCTCCAGAAAAACAAAATGCCAAATATACAAAACCTTAATAAGACCGGTACTCACATATGGTTTCTAAGAAAAATCTTGCGACACATATATAAGGGCACAAAGGAAAACGGGATTTGGCGGAGAAGGTATAACTTTGAACTATACAACATATACCAGGATCCGGATATCATAACATTCATTAAAATAGGAAGGCTACATTGGATTGGACATGTGGAAAGAATGGAAGAAGGCGAAATACCAAACAAAATATTCAAACAAGTGCCAGTAGGAAAAAGAACAAGAGGAAGACCGAAGCTGAGATACGTAGAACAAATAGAAAATGATATAACAACATTAAAAATTAAAAACTGAAAAAAAAAAGCACGAAACAGGTCAGAATGGAGAAGAATCCTTGAACAGGCCAAGACCCAGAAAGGGTTGTCGAGCCAGTGATGATGATGATGAAACCAGACATGAACATGTCTTCACAAGGAACAGATTGTTGCTACAATATTACAATATTTTATGAATATAGTGGTTAAGTTAGGATATACATGGCGATGGTTTTACCACCACTGCAATGGATAGTTCCAATTTCCGCTCGAATTTTTTCTGGGTAATATATCAGACAAATACATGTCTTCTTCTTTTATAGCTCTCGATACAGGTATACGTTTAGATGAGTCATGTCCAATTAATTCATCAAAAATACACCATTGACTTTTTATTTGCGAAATATTTTAAAATAAAATATTTCGCATTGTTTTGAAAATGCTTGGGTTTTAGCTGACACATACCAATTTATTTTGATTCTTGTCTTAAAATTTTGTAGTTATCTTAATCAACAAGTAATAATCTCTACAGGTACAAAATATTTACAATTTCCAAAAGGAAAGTGATTAGTCCTTAATTTTTTAGAAGGGATTAAAATTTCCAAGCAGCACAATTGTTTTAATTAAGATTAACAGGTATGAGTCATGTTCAATTAATTCATCAAAAATACACCACATAAATGTTAAACATATTGTATTAGAATGCAAAACATACATCCAGGAAAGAAAAAATAAACTCACCATCAACATGAATGATCTTCTAAGCTGCCAGTTCAACCAAAAATTGGTTGGTGAAATAATTAAGACATTAAATTTTACAATATTTAATACAATATAGGAGTTAATTCAAATACTACTATGTGAATCAGTGTAGAAATTAGCTGTTTATCACAGTCAATACCAGTTTTTAATTGTTTTTTTTTTTATTTAAAATAACATGTCTCGACAGCTTATGGTCATTGACATGGGTACAGTTTACAAGATTATACATATTTTATATAAAACAATTTTTTTTTGTTTTTGTGAAAAAATTAAAACACTATCACTATGCACTGTTTATATTAGCTGAATTAAACTTGTTTCTTTTAAAAATTTAGGAACACTGTCAAAACTGGTTGGAACACCTAGAATGTCTATTAGATTTCCTTTTAGGTTGTGCTTGTTTCTGGAAGAATCATACTGGCAGCAGTCCACTATCATGTGTTTGATAGAAAGGAGGCTATTACAGTAGTGGCATACTGGAGGGTTTTCTGAAGCAATAAGGTATCCATGCGTGAGACGTGTATGACCTATTCATAGTCAGTGAATAAGTGATTTTTCTTTCCTGTTCATACAGGAGATATTGACGCGAGATAAATTGGGTTGAACATCATACAGCTTAGTTTTTGTTTTACTCCACAGGTCTGCCCATAAGCTAAGGATTTATTGTTTTATCAATATTTTAAGATACCTGTGGATTTGGACCTCTTTGAAGGTTAATTTGAAAGAACATGCTACTTTAGCAGCTTGGTCTGCTTTTTCACTGAAATATTTAAAAGACATTAAATTTTACAATATTTAATACAATATATAGGAGTTAATTCAAAGGAGTACATACTGCTTTGTAATTCAGTGTAGAAACTGGCTGTTTATCACAGTTAATACCAGTTTTTAAAAGTATATCCAAGTTTATCATTAAAGGCAAAAGTATAGAGAAAGTGCCGATGAAGATGAATTTGGCATAAAAGTCATGTCAAATTTGAAATTTGTGTTTGCGGTATTGCCATGTCCTTAGTATGTGTATGTTTTATGCCTTAAATATGCTTTGAAACAGTACATTTTTATTATATTATTGTATGAAATCGGGTATTTTTTAAAAATTTTTAAATTTATATGAAACACGAACGAATGAATATTTGTTTCTTTTGATATTAGTTGCAGTTAGTTATTAGAAAAAAAAAAATTATAATTGGCCTTTGGTAGAT